TTGTGTGTAATAGTTTTTCTAATTTAAAAACTCATTTATAAAAATTGTACACCAAATTTAGAAAAATGTTCACCTATAAAAACTTATTATAAGTGAAGAACAGGATCTGTATATAGTTACTTTTTCAATAAGTGACAATTACGAATATCAAATTGAAAATTGCTATCAATATCTAATAAAGTATCGTTTAGAAAAAGTCAATAGGTCTTTTATGGGAATAGGTATAAAAATTTACAATAAGATACCAAAGGATATATTGGAATTACCCTTAAATAAATTCAAAACATCTGTTAAATCATATTTACTGAGCAAAGCCTTACTCACTAAACGATTACTTGAATGACGAGCGTGCATGGCAATAGTTATTGCCATGCACGGGATTTTCATTTAAAGTTAGACATAGACACCTATATAAATATACATTGTAAATAAACTGGCTTTAAAATAATGAATAAAATATTCAATTGAGTTTCATGCCAGTTCGTTTGTTTCAGTTCTGGACGGTAGGGAAAAAAAATAAAAATATAATGTAATATAAAAAAATTTACGTTCATAAGCGGCTAATGATTGTCCTACATGAATAAATGATTTTTGAATTTTAATTTATATTAGACAATATATGTATAAATATCCTACATATAAAAAAGGCACATTTCAATATTTCATTGTTTTAGTAATATCAGACTTTACATTTCAATGCAAATTGATTGGTTTGTTTCAATATCAGTATTTTGTTATAGTTGCCTTACTATTCAATGAGCTAAGAGTTAAAATGTAGCAAAATATATTTTTTAATATTAATCTCATTGCCTTCATGATATCTTTTCCACACGGTAAAAAAATCCAGCATATGTCAGAGGATACTTTTCATTTTTTTTTGCACTACTCTAATGCTGTTGGCTGCAGCTGGCCTTTACAACTTCACTGTACGATAGGATGAGTGCAGATGTCACTCCAAACCCGCGGAAGGACATATGGAGCGGTTGAAGGCCAACTCCCGCCTGACGGATACGACTTTAGTCTAAGGACACCGCTAGGGGTTCAAACCTCGGCTCAGTAATTCGTAATTTCGATCCCCGTTTGAATTGGACGGGGGATCGATCGGGTCAGAAAATACGTCACAAAATCTTTGAGTATAATAATTCTCGGGATCATTTTATGAATGTACTTATACCAATTATATTATAAATGTCTCGCATTTTTTTAAAAGCACACACACACAAATATTTTACACACTAAGGCGAGCCCTTCATTATTTCCTTGCGTTTTCATTTCAGTACAAGACGCGTGTATCAAAAGAATCTATACCTAAATCATTTAAACAGAAAGCTCTTTTTTAAATGAACTCGACGAAGCGTCTACAAAAACAAAAACGCACCAATGAAGGCAAAATGACGCCTAAAGGTCATAAGCGACAATAAATTAAATGAACCTCATTCATAAAAACAAATGTCATACAAACCTATTTATTTGTATTCATTTAAATTCAATGCACATAAATAAAGTGTACATATGGCTGTCTTCTACCTTACCTTGCGGCGTTATCTACCAGGCAACCATGAGTGATGCAGAGAAAGATTGTTGACGGTGCACTAATATAAATTACCTATTTTATTTATTTATATAACTTCTATGCACATAAATAAAGTGTACATACATATGGCAGACTTAATACCTTTCGCCGTTATCTACCAGGCAACCATGAATGGCGCTGAGAAAGATTGTTGGCGGTGCACTAATATAAATGATCTATTTGTCCTTTATTTTAGTCATGTGAAAGAAAGTGACAAAATACTGTACCATTTAAAATAGATTTGTAGATATTCGTTTATATGAATAATGTAAGGTACATATAAAACTAGATTTTGTTAGCAATAGACACATACTTATCTCATTACGGGGTCAATATATTTAGTCTATGGTTTTGTACTGTCAACACACTGATGGAATGTATTGTGTTATTTAACAATAAATCATAAATTCTAAACATTTTTATAGAATATATAGAGTTTCGATAGATCTATGTATGGATTTATAATGTTTTGTTTAATACCACTACAGTTAGCAAGTGTGAGAACACTGACCCGGAATTTGGTCATAATTTGATCAACATTAGAGGAGGTCGTAGTCAGTAATAATCGATATATAATATAAAAATAGATTAGATTATATCTAAGTAGTCAGTAATCCGCACTGAACATTTGTCGTCCCACACATATTACTTCGCAGACGCTAAATGTGGCGAAATTAAACGATATAATGATCCATTAAGTGAAATATATAATAAATATTGTCGGAATATATACATGCACCTATTCAATTGATTTTTTTACTTACAACCATTAAAATTTTAATTTAACTATAATTTTATAGTTTGTCTTTAATAATTCGATGCCTTTAACACGTTAATCGCCATGTCAGTCATATGTGACTGACGCTGAGGCATGTCTGACGTACGCGATTTGGTAGAAGGCGCTGCGTTCAAAACAACAGGTTAATACTTGATTAAGTATGAATATAAAACCTCCTTGGCCATCTAAGTATATTTTACTTTTTATTTACGTAATGATTCGAAATTCGAAATTCGAAATTTGAAAATTATTATAACAAAAGTTTGATACCACAACATGGCGTGTTAATAATACATTTTTTATTTTGTAAATTACTTAATATTAAACACTAGTGGATAAAAGGAAGTGGTATTATTTTATTGGATCCGTTAAACAATACTTGTGTATTGTTTGGATGCGTCAGACATATAAAACTGACGCGGCTTGTCGAGAAAAGTTTTGATATAGGGCCATGTGAGTCTTATATGTGTGACATAAAAAAATTATTATTCCGGGAATTATGGCAAAAAAATTCTGTGATACATTAAGTTTCCTTGATACATTTTTAACTAAATTAACTAATAAAGTTACCATGGCCCATGTAATTTTTTCTGATATTATCGTGGCGATTAACGTGTTAATATATATACAAACACACAGAATAGATTTGACAATCTAAATTGGATAGTGAAAATAAATTAGTTACATGTAAAAATATTGTTTTTAATTTTTTCGTTTTTGCATTACTATAACTCGTATTAAGTATGTAAACTTTAGTTAAATAAAAGTAAATGTACATAAAAAAAAATATTGTTTTAAATAATTTTGCAATGCTATAATTGGTATTAGACTGTTTTTATAATTAAAAAAATCTCAAATTAATAATACAAATTAAAATAATGTAATAATAAATTAATAATTATGTAAAACAAAAATATTAATATCATACAATAGTCAACATATACACACATATACATCAATTAGTAGTGACTTTAAAATTATACACAAAACATTTTTTAAGGTTATTTTTTTTTATAATTATTTTACTAATTTACTTAATACTAATAATATCTAATGGAGTATATTTCATATCAAAATAGTACTGGTTTTATATTCTGGGAAATAAAATACCGTAAGGGTATGTAAATACATATCAAAAATTTTCATGTTACTACAGTATAAAAATATTTATATTATTTATTCAAGTACACACAGGGTTAATCGTATAGGGTATAACCCAAGCCGAATACGAAAAAAATAATTTACAAGCTCCTAGTTTTAAAAACGACGATACTACCATACAATTTCTTTTTCCCCTTTTTCTGCATTAAAAAGTAGCTTATGTCCTTTATTAGGGTCTAGGTTATCTGTGCACCAAATTTCTTTTAAATCGGTTCAGTCGTTTTGGCATGAAAGCAATACAGACGGACAGACAGTTACTTTTATGATATTAGTAAGGATTACATGAGTATTCCACTTAGATTTGTACTTACTACCCCATTTACGACTAACACCATGTATATACTATATAGAATACAAAATACAAGTATTCTAAAACATACAGCAGGATTACACAACTCTGTTGTTAGTAATTTACGCTTGAAAATAATTAAATTGTTTAGTGATTATCTACGCGCAGTTTGACAGAAATTAGTAGCAACTATTTTATACTACTAAATGGTAGTATTTTTTCTTTACCATATTTTTTTATTTGCTATACAACTTTAATGGTGACTTTATTTTTTTCTTATTTCAGCTATTCCTCGGCTAAAACTTTCCAATAATCAATCTAATTCAATTGAAATTTGCTAACAACAGAGTGACATAATCTGGTTGTCCAATTGTAAAAATATATATAAAAATATATTGTTTAAGTTGTATGTTATGATATATAAGTCACAACACAATGTGTTCTGAATGAACACTAGAATTTACTAGAGACGAGTTAGAGATTCATTGATGTTTAATTTTAATATACCAACGAAATAAAGTAAAAAGTCCACAAGGTCCATCGAGCCGGATAAAATTTCTTCAGTAAGATAATAATAATAGTACTAGTCAATTAGCATTTATATCTTGCTCGAAGTGTGATTAATAAAAAATAATATTGGGGTGTTAATATCAAATAAGCACGAGTACTAAAAACTCATCAGGTTCATCATCCTACGAGCCGGATATGAACAAGTAAACTAACTGTCGACATGGTTGTAGTCCTGCGAGCCGAATACGAACGCGCTAAGAGTAGGTGTGTTCATTGCTATATTAGTGACTCTTCGAGCCGGACATAAACAACAGACAGAGGTTTTTCGACCTCAATATAATCACGCTAAGAGTAGAAGGTTAAGCTGTTAATATGTCCGGATCTTTCGACCCGGATAAACTTTGTTGAAAAGTAGAATGTGTGGTCGTCGCCATGGTAGTGGACCTTCGAGCCGGATATAAATACGCCAATTATAGAAGGCGAGGACGGCGGCGTCGTCCTTCAAATCGGACACGAGCTCGCTCAGAGTAGGTGGGGATTACGACGCGGTTACGGTCCTTCGAGCCGGACACGACTTCGCTGAGTGTAGAAGGCGCGCTCGTGGTCCTTCGAGCCGAATACGAATGCGCTAATATTAGAAGGCGAGGAGGGCGGCGCGGCGGCGGTCCTTCGGGCCGGACGCGTGCTCGCTAAGAGTAGAAGGTGAGCACGGCGGCGTGGTTACCGCGCACGAGCAGCACGCGGTCGGCGGCGGTGGCGATGGCGTGCAGCCAGGCCACGTACAGCGGCGGCGGCACGACGGCGCGGCGCCGCGGCATGGGCAGCGTCACGCACACCAGCCGCGCGCCGCCCGACTGCGCCGCGATCAGCTCGCGCAGCCGCAGGTGACGGTGCGTGCGGTCCCGCGCCGCCACCAGGTCCGCCTCAGAGATGCCCGCTACGACATTAACACCACCGGTCCAGAGCGATACTACCCCCGGCTCACTGGACCGGGCGGTGGCCGCCTTCTGAGGTTGAAGGCTGGGCCGTTTAACCTCAGAGGGCAACTACTTAGCATGTTTTATGCATGCTAATTGCTTAGCTTACTTTAGCATGATTTGTTTACATTCAATAAGAACAACTATTCAATATATATAGATATATACTATAATTATAAATGCGTAAGTTTGTGAGTGTGGATGAATGGATGGATGGATATTGTTACTTTTTTATAAAAACTACTCCAGTAAGTAACCCGGGTGTATGTAGACCTTCTGAGTTATACAAACACAAGTAAAGGGACCCCGAGGTCCCAATCTCTCATCCACTTCGGTGAATTTTTTCATTTAAAAATGTTTACAATAACATTTAGTACCCTCCTGCGTACGGACAGTCTTTAGAATATTTTCCCACACAAGAAAAAACAGTGCTTATATTTAAGTTGTATTGTTATATGTTAACTTTCAAGTTACATAACAAACGCACTACATATTCATAACATTTTGAATAAAACTCGTGGTGACTTAAATGACAGTATAAACAGGGGCGGATGGTGAATTTGTCCCTGGGCTAAATCTACTTAGGGGCCTACCTAATTATATTACTCAACTAAAAAAATACACCGACCAAACACAAGCTACCAGAAATTCCCCATTCCTTTCGATAGACGCACACTTACATTGGTTGTTTGATCTCAGGGTTGCCAACCTTATGATAGGTATAGGTTTTTTAACATTCTTGATATTTTTTATATTCTAAATATCGTTTCATTGGGGACTGGGGGCCCTTTGTATCATCGGGGCCCTAGGCTGCAGCCCAAAAAGCGCTTAGGTAGATCCGCCCCTGGATATAAGTAATGAAAATATACTTACTGTTATCTGTACTGTCTTCCGACTTGAACGGCGCGATCAGTTTGTCAAAGTACGCCAGCGTGGAGTCGCGCGGTCGCTTCGTGATATCCGCCACCATCTTCAGCGCTGAGTAGTCGATACGGAACTTGGATAGGAGTGACGCCATGCTACACAAACAGTTTTATTTGTAACTAGCTGTTCCCACGATTTCGTCCGTGTGGAATTTAACTAAATTTTTCTAAAGTAATAGATATTTTCTATAATAAAAGTAGCCTAAGTTATTCCTTATTATATCAACTACCTGCCAAAATTGGTCTAAATCGGTCCAGCCATTTAAGAGATTAGCCGGAACAAAAATGATAAAAAATGTTATTTTGGTGTATGTAATATGCATGTAGTAAAAAACGGTTATTTCAACATTACAAACAGACACTCCAATTTTATTTATATGTATAATATACACCCAAATGAAATTTCAATAATAAAAAAATATATTATTGAGATGCATAAGCACTGTAAAATATCATAAAAATCCATTCAGTAGTTTTTACTTGAAAGAATAACAAACGTCCATACTTACCAACTTTCGCATTTATAATATTAATAAATAAGATTTATCGAATTTGGCTTAAAGATACATTAAACATACGTTATAAAAAAACACTGTACACTCACTTCCTCTCTTCGATCTCCATTTCAGTGTTCTTGTTAGCCAGCGTGAATACCCGGAGCGGAGACGTGGACCACGCACGGCGAGTTGACAAGATATACGGCAGCAGGAGTGTTAGACCTGCATATTGAAATATATATTGTTAACTGCAACACCCGCTGGAGTCGACAGCATGTTAGCTGTATCTTCCGCTGGAGGCGCCACCGTCGTGCAACGCGTCTATAAAAGACTGCGACCCGGCGTGCGATTGATCCCCCGATTGAACCGCTCCGATTGATCCCTCGTCCAATTCAAACGGGGATCGATATTACGACGCCCAGAACCCCTAGCGGTGCCCTCAGACTAAAGACGTATCCGTCAGGCGGGAGTTGACCGCAGCCGCTCCATAAGTCCTTCCGGTTTGGAGTGCCATCTGCACTCGCCCCCTAACGTCCGGTGAAGCTGTAAAGGCCAGCTGCGGCCAACGGTATTAGAGTAGACCGAAAAAAAAATAAAGCGTGCGGCCTCTTTTGGACGACTGACGTCCTCTCGAACACTTCCCCTTGCATATCGCGTTTGCATTATATAATTGCATTGATATATTAAACTGATTGTTAAAAATTAATTATACGAATTACTGTTATTTTTTTTATTTAATTAAATTTACAAGTCATTCCTAATTCATTCATTATTACAAGCATATTCAGTACATATGCTGTATTATTTTAATGCACAGCTAGCAATAGGGTCTATATACATTTCTGGATTCAATAAGAGATTTTTTAATTTAGTAATATAATAATAGTTTTTAAAAATTCACATAGCGCTATTTATTCCCAAGCAAAGAAGAGTGGACAACTGATATAAATACATAGTTATTTTATGGTTAAGGGTTGGTTAAATTCCTCAAACATCACCAATTATAATTTATATTATAATTGTTGATGTTTGAGGATATTTATTTATATATTTATAAAATCATCTAAATATATCGTTATCTAGAATCTACAACACACGCTTTTTTTGCTTTTGGGAGTAGAGAGCGTAGTGTGAATTGCCCAGGGGTATTATTATTATTCCTCTAAAAGAGAGGTCATAGTATATAAAGTGTTGGTGTAGTCTCACTAGGAGTAGACGGCGTAGTGTGAATCGTCTACAGGTGTTGTTATCATACTCTTCTAAAGTGAGGAGATACTTTAAAGTGAGGATTCCCGTCTAACAGTTAGGAGCCCTTTCCAAACGTGAGGAGCTTTCTCCAGACGTGAGAAGCCCCCTCCAGACATGAGGAGCCCCCTCCAACAGTGAGGAGCTTCTTCCAAACGCGAGGAGCTCCTTCCAACCGCGTGTAGCTCCCTCCAAACTCGAGGAGCTCCCTCCAGACGTGAGGAGCTCCCACAAAAAGCGAGGAAGTCCCTTCAAAAGTGAGTAGGTGTGTAGTGTATGGTGTGGTGGTGTGTACCGCCGTCGTCGTAGAGCCACCAGACGTCGACGGTGCCGGCCTGGCGGCGCGTGAACTGCTCCACCGAGGTGAACGACGACGCGCGCCGCGCCGCCCCGCCCGCCCCGCCCGCGCCCAGCGCGCGCCGCACCGCGCCGCCCACGCCCGACCTGCGCGGGGGGAGGGGACGTTAATACCTGCCCTTACTGTACGGGAAACATTAACGCAGTAACCATAGTGGTGTCCAGGTCAATAACGTACAAAATATTCATTACCAGAATACATATTTAATGTAATACACAGTACTAATATAGATAAGTTATATCAACATGACGAAAGAGAAGATGACACCCGCTCTCTTTTTTAAAAACATACAAACATACTTCGTCTGCTATACCAGCCAGTCAGTCATCGACTGCTAACCTCGTTCTAACATTTACACGTACTCCATTCCACGCGTGAATCTACCTTTACACGCACTCCATTTAACGCGGTCAGTCTACCTTTACACGCACTCCATTTAACGCATAAATCTACCTTTACACATACTCCATTTAATGCGGTCAATCTACCTTTACACGCACTCCATTTAACTCGTAAATCTACCTTTACACATACTCTATTTCACGCGTGAATTTACCTTTACGCATGCGCACACACACGGAAATCGGCTTACACGCGGATAGGAATGTGCATGTAAATACCTGCCTTTACACGTACGCTCTATTACGGGTGAACTGATTTTGACTGACTGAATGTAGCCAAACTATATCTACTAATTCAAATCAAATCAAAAATCATTCATCCATGTAAGACATTTTAACCGCTTATGAACGTCAAATTCTTTATATTTATATTTTATATACATGTTTAATTACTGACTTTACACGTACACTCTTTCATGCACTATCAGGAGCGCACGCTATACAGCGGGAGTTATATATTAAAAAGCAGTAGGTATACATAAATAATTAATACTTACTTAATTATATGTACAATAAATATCGACGACCTCGGTGGTCTAACGGTTTAGCACATTGCTTTACGACCGATGGTCGCGGGTTCGATTCCTCGCACGGCACAAACATTTGTATTCATGAGTATGATTGTTTGTATCGGTCTGGGTGTTTTCTATGTATAATATATATGTATTTACAAAAAAAATTAAAAATCTATGTATTTGTATCAGTTATCTAGTACCCATAACACAAGCTTTAGCTAGCTTAACTTGGGTCTAAATGGCGCTGTGTGAATTGTTCTATGATTATTATGATGATTATATTAAATATATATTACTAAGTATCTATATAAAAGCACGGAAAAAAACGGAGTCATCAGTAATGTGATGACTCCGTTTTTTTTGTTTGTCGTGTTTTGTCATGTGCCGTTTGGCCTGTCATACCTTTCGTTGCGTGCGGGCTTGGTGTCGGCGCCCCGGGCGGGCGGCCGGGCGGCCGGGTCGTCGGACACGGCCGCGCGCCGCAGCTCCGGCGAGCCCATGGACACGTCCGACAGGCTGCTACCTACGCACATCATTACATTGCTTTTTAAGATACTTCAAAAAGAAATAATTATATCAATATAATAATCTCAGGACTGTCTAGACCCAAGTTAGCTCAACTTGGGTCTAGACAGACAGACAGTCTAAAGCTTGTGTTATGGGCACTAGATAACAGAAACGAATGCCTGAATGAATCTATTTCTTTTTCGTACATACATTCTACTTGTATCACTTATCTAGTACTCATAAAGCAAGCCTTTGTTAGCTTTGGGACTAGATGGCGCTGTGTGTGCCCTGAAATTATTAGTATTATTAAATTTATTCATTTGACGATTGACATTTGACGACCTCGGTGGTCTAGTGGTCTAGCACACCGCTTTATGACCGATGGTCGCGGGTTCGATTCCTCGCACGGCACAAACATTTGTATTCATGAGTATGATTGTTTGTATCGGTCTGGGTGTTTTCTATGTATACTATGTATTTATTTACAAAAAAAAAATCTATGTATATGTATCAATTATTTAGTACCCATAACACAAGCTTTAGCTAGCTTATCTTGGGTCTAGATGGTGCTGTGTGAATTGTCCTGAGATTATTATTATTACTATTTTTATCCAAAAATTCTCATCTCCCCTCTTAAGGAGAGGAGATGGTAACATACCCCCGGCAGAAGCACAGTCGGCCGGGGTTCAGGGCCATGGGAGAGAAACCGGCGTACAATACGGGCAGTCTAACAAACTTTCTGCATCTTTCCCGAGTTAATCCCAACCGTCTGAGATATTGCTCCTTGGGATCCTACTGGTTGGGATAAGACCGTTCACCGATATATCGATTGGAATGATTTCGGTGGACATCACCCCCCACATTTCGGTCACCTCGTGAGCCAGGTCGAGATATTTTCTCTTATTATTATTATTATTCAACAGTGTCCAGCATGCTGGACCTCGTAACGCGGACTGACTTTATACTGGAGTTAAATCTAAGTTAGTTGGAGACATAAAAAATGGAAGAGTGCCGAGTGTTGACAGAAATATTACGTACTTATTAATATTTCTATCAATTTCGGCACCCTTACAGCCATGTAGACCCAAATAAGTAACAAACCAGAGTTAAAAGCAGTATAACTATTAATTTCTACTAATCTATACATATAAATAAAATTGGAGTGTCTGTTTGTAATATTGAAATCACCGTTTTTTACTACATGCATATGAATATAAATACATGCACCTAAAAACATTATTTACAATTTTTGTCTGTCTGTCTTTCTGTCTGTTTCTTCCGAATTGTTTGTTCTGAATTGTCTGAACCGATTTTATTGGCAGGTAGCTGATGTAATAAGGAGTAACTTAGGCTAATTTAATTTAGAAAAACAAAGTTACTTTCCACGCGTACGCGGCCGTGCAGTTAGTATATAATATTATACAACACAAACTCACAGACAGTATCAATATATTACTATAAGTACAATAATTATCATTAGTGGTCGAAATTCAACCATATTAAAAAATACGAAGAGATTTTGAACCAGCATTAACGATTAAACAAAAGAGTAAGCGTATCTATGTCAAATACACACGTGTATGTAAAAATGTTTGTTTTTTGTGTAGTTTTTATGTATTTTCGTGAAAAGAGATACAAAGCTTTTACCCATTTTAATATATAAATACTGGTACAACTATACGATATCGTGCCTCAATATGATGAATTACAAAACCAAAATTATATTATAACTTTTAACTCTTAAGGTTAGAAATTGTATGACCACCACCCGTATTAGAACAAAATAAATAATAATACATACCCACTGATTGCGTATTCAAACTCTCCGTAGACTTGGAGTCCTTGTTGTTGTCGCCCATAGAACCTGTGCAAAGCGACGGATGGTCGACGATGTCGGTGTTACAACATACATATATTCCACGAACAGTCAATATCAACAGTAAACAGTTCTTATGATTTTTACAATTGAAAATTACCTTTATTACGGTATATATAAGTTATATTTCACATCGCTAATAGAGTCCATACACAAACAGTATCAAAAAGTAACTTTTTACAAATTTACAACTACCAAGTGAAAATGGTCTCTATTAATGTACACAGTAAGTTTTATTTCACATCGTTGATACAGTTCATACATAAACTATATCAAAACGTCTATGTTCCTAGCGTGTCCTAAATAATAATCAACAAATTTGGCGGCAAAAATTTGCACAAAACCATAGACGTTTTTTACTTCTCACATCCAGAAACTAATGTAGGATGCGTCGAGTTATTCTCTCAATTTATGAAAATAACTCGAAAGAAATTAGCAAAAATAGAATTTAAGTATTATTTATAGAAAAAGTATAGTTGATATTGACTGTTTTATAAATTAAAAAGCACATAATTATTAATATGTATATGAAGGCTTAGTTAGTCATAAATACAATAAAATAGCTCATAAATTGTTAACAAAACAAATGTCACTTCCTTATTTGGCGCCCATTTAACGATCAGATCATGGATATAGTAATTTCCCTTTTTGTACTCCTGCAGATTTTGAGAATAAACCTGCCAACGTTACTCACGACTACGCAGTTTTTTTAACAATGATTTATACGGCCCTGGGTACTGGTCCAATAAGAAACGGCTTACCAGTTCATAAAATGTTACTAGATCTAAAAGTTTAACCATATCATGAGCGAAATAAAATCACTACGATCCCCACAGTTCGCAATATAATATCATAAACAACCATAGACAAAATAAAATTATATTACTAATATGTGTTATCGTTACACTACCCTACCTTGACAATATTATATTTTTTAGTTCCAATAAAATAAAAAAAATTACGTTAAATTGTAGGAAAATAAAGCATTTGTCGGTGTATTCAGAGCTTGATTTTATTTTGTAAAAAATCCCATATTTAGCGCAGTTTCGTAAACCATTGTAGTTTAAGTATAATTATTAGGCACTAACAGATATGTGGATCAATAATTAATTAAAAAAAACATAGAACACATGTTTTAGTGTATTTGGTACTCACGTTCCCTGTCGAGACGGTCGAGTGGAGCGAGTCGCGCCAGGTGCTGCAGGTAGTCTCGCAGGTCGCCGTCCAGCAGCGCACCAGCCGACTGGCCGCCCTCCACGCGGAGTATACTCAGAGCCATGTGCATGTCAAGCGCCTTGCTGCGGACGAACATCGTTAGACGTATAACTACTATTCTTAGGACCACTCAGTTAAGGTAATCTATCTATATATATATATATATATTGTCAGTACATATATACATAGAAAATAAACCATACTCTTGAATACGAATGTTTGTAACGTGTGAGGAATCGAACCCGTGTCCATCAGTGTCAGTAGCGATGCGCTGAACCGCTAGACGTCGACCGACGACTATTCATAATTCAAAAATCAAAAATCATTTATTCATGTAGGACATTTTAGCCGCTTATGAACGTCAAGTTTTACATTATAATTTTTCCCTATCGTCCAGTTCGGTATATAGATCCAATTGAGAAGAACTGGCAAGAAACTCAATTGAATTACTTTTTTTTTAAAATCCAGTTTATTTACAATGCATTTATATAGGTGTCTATGTCTAACATTAAATGAAAATCCCGAACATGAAAACTATTGCCATGCACGCTCGTCATTCAAGTATTATAGATAAGAGACATATAAAAAAAGGACGTCTGTATTTTGTACTCACTTTTTCTTTTTTATACTCTGCTGTTTTTTTAATTATACAACGTAGTACGTTATATAATATGTACAAAATATACCATATAGTACCAAAAATGTATATAAATAATAATACCGTATATACTCACTGCATATGGTAAGAAAGGAAATAAATAACGCGATGACTGCGAACAGGGATGAATGGAAGAGAAAAATATATTACGACGACCACAAATAAATGGGGATAAGGAAGAAGCAGATGATGATACTCACTGCATAACCTCTACATAGTCGACTATCTCGGATCGATCGCACGACTGCCAGTCCTCCTTGAAGCCCATCATTAGAATGTTAGGCTTCAGCTTGCCGAGACCACTCGCCTGCAAACAAGTCACATCTTTCAGGTCTTTAAGATGCACTCAGTGAATGTATTTTCTTACACAATAATAATAATAATAATAATATATTTATTTTCTCCACAAATCATTGACACAATATTATGAAAGTGAGCCAAAAATAAGATTCAAATGGAAAGTTATTCAAAAGTAAAACATTTTCTTAAAGCTTAATATACAATTGATCGTAAAAAAACTTATTAAAAAATCAAGTTTTTATAATAATAATAATTATTATTATTATATCATTGTTTGGTGATTTTTACCCGCAATGATAAGTCTATTACCCCATCAAAGGGAGATATAATATATATATAAAGAAATAATAATAATAATAATAATATTTCAGGAAAATTCACACAGCGCCATCTAGCAGAGCTTGTGTTATGGGTACTAGACAATTGATATAAATACATGGATACATTTTTTTTGTAAATAAATACATATTATACAAAGAAAACACCGAAACAATCATACTCATGAATACAAATGTATGTACCGTGCGAGGAATCGAACCCACGACCATCGGATAGTAAAGCGGTGTGCTAAATCACTAGACTACCGGCTGTCATGACTCATGACTCATGTTTATAAATGATAATAATGGGTTTTGTAGAAAAAAATCTAACTTAAAATTCATATTCAAACGAGCTCGTGGTTCACTGATGGTAAGTGATTACCGCCGCCCATAAGCATCTGCAACACCAGAGGAATTGCAATTATTTTGCCAGCCTTAAAAGAAGGAATAAGAAGAACCTCTTTCTTGAAGGTTTAAAATATCGTATCAGTTCGAAAATACCATTGCTGGAAGGCGATTCCACAATATAGTTGTGCGTGGCAAAAAGTTTCTAGAAAAACTCACGGAGATGGACAGCCATTCATCCAGATGATCAGGATGGTATGGTTTCTGGCGGGTAGTGCGATGGTGAAATTCAGCTGTTATTAATCCGAACAATTCCTCAAAAATCTCCGTGATATATGCGATAGAAAATACAGAGATGCAATGTCTCACCGCAAAGCGAATGAGTCGAGATTATCACAAATGATAACATGACGATCGGTGTCTAAATGCGCAAATGAAAATGGAAAGTGGACTGTATATTTCATATTTAGAATGAAAGGAGGTGGTACATGGCAACTGGATTACTCGATGTCTTCCCGGAGGCCGGCCGTCCTCTCGTTCTTATACGATGCTACTCCAGCACACTATGACATTTCACATCCACTAATATCTATATGCAAATCTACAAAATTAGTCTATATATTGCCCAAAATGCTAATTATGATGCGGATGAAAAACTATGATAGCCACTATTCAATGATCTCCGAGCGACTACGTGTACGACTGCCCGAGTCTCGCGGATCGGACTCGAGCGAAACACCTCTGTCCTCTTCTGTTTCCTTGCCAAGGAAAGAGATAGATATAAGGAAATGAAAATAGGTATAGCGAACAATGGTAATGGTGATACCTGTATAAGTGCACTGGCGCCATCTTTGAACCCGCTATCGTCGACCACTGTGTAGAAAGCCTTCATCTTCCGTTTCGTGAACCAATAGTAAGCACGGTCCGTTAGAGCCTCCCTCGCGCGATGGCTCACTTGACCCTGAAATAAAAAAAAAACAGTGAGTCATACATATTAGAAGAAAGAAAGAATTTCTTCTATTCATTCGTTTATTCGATACACATAAACTAAACAACAAAACAAGTATTAAATACAATTTGTTCATATATATATATATATATATAAAATAAGGGTTGATGCTAGAAGGGTGAAAATTAAGGGTTGTATGTATTTCTTAATGACACAATAAAACAATATAAATAAAAAAACTATGCCTGAAAAATAAAAAAATAATGTTAGAGGTGGACAACCCTTATTACTTAGAGGTATGAAAAATAGATAGTAACTGATTCTCAGACCTACTGAATATGCATATAAAATTTCATAAAAATCGATCAAGCCGTTTAGGAGTATGGACATTGTGACACGAGAATTTTATATATAAGAAGATATATACTACGTACCTACATCTAGGCGCATGACATTGAGTAAAATATAATATACAGCTGTATCACATTATGCAAATATACTTTAAAATCGACAAATAATCGAAAAGTTATAAACGTTATATTCTAGGTGTGCTAGGGTTTCACCTATAAACTTTCTCAAGAACTAGCCTGTGATTTTTTTATTGGGGGGTTTTGGCTATTGTCAAGTGCCGACCTAGTAGTGGCAAGTATGACCTGTAACACTGCGACCTGTATAGATCTATTGTACTCGCCCGTATTCAAAGTTCGCTACCTAGACCCGTAAGCGACAAGAATTGAAGGATATTAGGAGCGAGGCTGTGAAATGCAAAAAGGTATTTTTATCGGCCTCGATTCCTTACTACTTGAAAGTACCATTAAATTAGAATATATTAAAAAAAATACCTGAAGCACGTGTCCGCACAGCATGAGCGATAATCCTTTTGTGAGTAGATATGAGAAGTCAGTTAGAATCGGCCTTTCTGCTGGGAAACCTGATAGCACCAGGATCTGTGGTCTGTAAACATATTAGGTATGTATACTAGCTGTACTCGCGACTTCGTCTGCATGGAATTTAACTTTATTTTTCTAAAATAAAAGTAGCCTCTTAATACATCAGCTAGTCGGAACAGACAGACAGACAAAAATTGTAAAAAAATGTAATTTTGGTATATGTACCGCATTTATATTCATATATATGTATATAGTAGAAAACGGTTGATTCAATATTACAAACAGACACTTGAATGTTATTTATTTGTATAGATTTAAAACTCTAATCGTAGACTCTACCAGGGTAACCGGTGTGGAGCTCCCGGTTGATTGCGCGGTATGGTGTGTTTGGGGTCGTCGTCTTCGCCGGCGAGGACGGTGTCGTGTGTAGTATATAAAAGTGTGGTCGGGACGGAACGGTGGGTTCATAAGGAAGTTAACTACTGTTATGGGGTCATCGGGTTCAATAAGAACATGCCTCAGGCGACATAAGTAAATAAATAGATTCATAACAATACCTATAATTTTATTCAGTTAAGAATAAAATTATAGGTATTGTTAACTATAACTACATAAAGGAAATTAAAACTGTATTTGTAACAGTGCAAGAGTTTTTGTATTCTGCATATCATACCATTAGGTTCGATATATCATACCAACTGCAAAATTCTACGAAATTAATCGAAATTTCGTAGAATAGTTTGTCGATTCTCATTTGTCGTTTCATATATAATATTTCTTGGATTCAAGTTGTAGTGACTGGCTATTGACCATATAGTATGATTAAAAGAAATAAAACAGTAAATAATATACCTAATGAAACAATTTATATAAAAGTTAGTGATTTATGGGACACAGTTACCTAGAAATAATAATTGCATTTAATAATATCTAGTAAGACTATCCAATTTTGTCTACTAAGTACTGCCGTGTCCAAACTGTGTCACCTCACCTTACATTTTCCTATTGTTATTTATTTAGTATATTGTTGTTTATTTAGTATATTCGCAACGACTGCTTCTAACAGATATGTAAATTAGTAGTTTTAATTGCAGTTGCTTAATACTGCCAACTTTTTTTAACGTCAATACAGTTATCCAAAATGAAATAAGCATGTGTATTGTATATATTCACCTATAATTTTTAACATGTTCAGTAACTCTGTTTAGGTGATGCACGCCGGAGAGCGCCGTTTTGTATGTCTGGGCCTGTGTTGTGGAGCCCCAATTAACATCTGTAACATTTACAAAAAAAACTGGTAATCATACCTACTATAAACTTGCATATGTTCACTAATTATATACACACACTTCAACTTAAAAATGTAAAGTAACAATAACATTACTTAAAAGAGCTACACACGAGTTTCTTGCTCGTTCTTCTTGTGATGAGACAGCTTTCATATGAGCGGTAGATTAAAAAAATGTGATGACTATTTAAAAGTGCTTCAATGTAAGTTTATTACAATAAATGATTTTCTATTCTATTCTATTCAATTAATAAACTATCTTTGTTACAGATAAATAATTTTGATTGGTCTTAATAATTATATCTTACTAATATTATAAACGCGGAAGTTTGTGAGTATGGATATATGGATGTCTGTTACACTTTCACGCAAAAACTACTGAATGGATTTTAATGAAACTTTACAATAATATAGCGTATACATCAGAATATCACTTAGGCCATAAATTTCACGTGCGTGAAACTGTAGTAAATAGCAGCGCCACAACTAGTAGTAAACATTTTATCAATAATATAAATAACATAGCTAACTTTGTGCTATGTATGTAGGTACTTATACCATCTGCGCTGTAACATGGTGACAGTTACTAATTAAATAGTAATTTTACATTTAAAAATTGCTACAATTAAGTTAATGCAGTTGTTAATGATTTAACATATTACGAATGTGGTACAACTGAAATACTAAGTCATAATTTATAAATCGCGGCAACTTTTAATAGTGAAACGAAACATTAATGAAACTGTCACCCGCACCATGCTACAGCGCACATGGTATAGTTTGTTCACAAAGTGAAGCTTTTTTACAGTGAAGTACTTACTCACATAGACCAGCTTTTTTACAGTGAAGTACTTACTCACATAGACCAGCTTTTTTACAGTGAAGTAGTTGCTCACATAGACCAGCTTTTTTACAGTGAAGTAGTTACTCCCATAGACCAGCTTTTTTACAGTGAAGTACTTACTCACATAGACCAGCTTTTTTACAGTGAAGTAGTTACTCACATAGACCAGCTTTACACCAGCTTTTTTACAGTGAAGTACTTACTCACATAGACCAGCTTTTTTACAGTGAAGTACTTACTCACATAGACCAGCTTTTTTATAGTGAAGTACTTACTCACTTAGACCAGCTTTTTTACAGTGAAGTACTTACTCACATAGACCAGCTTTTTTACAGTGAAGTACTTACTCACATAGACCAGCTTTTTTACAGTGAAGTACTTACTCACATAGACCAGCTTTTTTACAGTGAAGTACTTACTCACATAGACCAGCTTTTTTACAGTGAAGTAGTTACTCACATAGACCAGCTTTTTTACAGTGAAGTAGTTACTCACATAGACCAGCTTTTTTACAGTGAAGTACTTACTCACATAGACCAGCTTTTTTACAGTGAAGTACTTACTCACACAGACCAGCTTTTTTACAGTGAAGTACTTACTCACATAGACCAGCTTTTTTACAGTGAAGTAGTTACTCACATAGACCAGCTTTACACCAGCTTTTTTACAGTGAAGTAGTTACTTACCTTATTAGGCGTATATGAGACATTGCTTACCCGGTTTTCTATAGGAGACGAGTAGATACAGCATGAGTAGGAACGCGAAAGTAATTAGTGCTGTGGACCACGATATCACGAACATGATCGCTACGCACATCATTGAGCCGACGAGCGACAACCACATGTTATATAACTGTAAGAAATTAACAAAACTAACTGAATTATAGGGTACAAAAAGTGGCCATATCATTTATGCAATCTCTTCCAAACAACGGTAGAGGCCAAAAGACAAAAGGTAGCGCTAGAATAGAATGGTAAAAACATCATAATAATGGTCTAATTCAGGATAACCTGAAAATGTACGTTAAAATGTATCATTAGGCCATTTGACGTCTCTATGGTGACGGTATTTTAACGAACCGTCAGTAATTAAGCGCAAGATGACTTACTCTAAATGTAGGTCTCCATCCGACCGGCCTGGCGAGGCTGGCGTGGAATGTGGCGAAGTTGATCAGCGCGTACGCAGCCAGGAAGAAGTTGGAGATCAGCGGCGCGATTTGGTCCAAACCACCTTTCAATAATAAACAAAATAATAAATGTTGTTTGTAATAAATGCGACTAGTACGACAGCGACTTATAATAGACTAGCTTTTGCCCGCTGCTTCGCTCGCGTAATTTGCCCCCTTAGGGGTGGAATTTATCAAAATCCTTTCTTAGGGCTTGCCTACGTCATAGTAGCTTTATGCATATAAAGTCTCAGCCCGATCGGTTTAAAATTGACAAAGTTTCATACAAATTTTCATCCCCTATTTTACCCCCTTGGGAGTATAAATAATCAAAATCCTTTCTTAGCGGATGCCTATGTCATAACATCTACCTGCATGCCAAATATCAGCCCGATCCGTCCAGTGGTTTGGGCTGTGCGTTGATAGATCACTATGTCAGTCAGAAAACCTTTGAGTTTTGAGATATATTTAGATACATCGCTGCCGTACTAGTCGTATTTTCAATTATCTTCGTATATTTCCTAACATAACCCTCAATACCTCTCAGGTACATCAGATATCTGCGCTTTAAATTGAAAGTGGTTATTTTAGTTATTTTTAAATACTGTTACTCCAGTCAGCTCGTGGAACCTAATCGAAACGTCGAGAGAGGTAAATAACTTTATTTGGCATAAAATTATTCGTGTTAAGACCCCGTTAAGGTCCGGCCGCTCCGAGTTTGCGTTTCTAACAGCTGGACCAATACACTGTTTGTTTTTGTAGTGATGTGACTAAATAACCTTGAAACAGTGCAATTTGATGTGGTTTGACTTTTATGAACTATTGTTTCTATATTTGTTAAGTAGTTAATAATTTTAGCCCAAAATTCATACGTTTATTCTTAGTTGGAATATTTACTAAATTTTTAATGTTTTAATTTAATTTTATCACTCGTTAACAAGTCAAATGAAAATTATTTAAAATTTTGCCGTAAATTATACGTCGGTTCAAAGTTACAGCGCCCATTCGATCACGATCTGTCAGAAACGCAAAGTCTGACCGGACTGTAATGACATACAAGTAAATAGTGGGTACTTTAAGAAATATAATTAATATTCGTATCTCACCCATAAGTATGAATGCGGTCGCTATAATGAAGGTGAGCACGTAGCCACGGACGGGTTCGTTGTTGGCGCCGTAACCTTTTGCGAAAATCTCCAAGTACGGATACAGTTTGTCCTGGCACAGCGCCTGCTCACAAATAACACATTTAAACATTATTGAAGATCAAATTATATATTGAGGAGATAAAAACCATCGCTCCTAAGAATATCCTTCAATTCTTGTCCCTTACGGGTCTAGGTAGCGAACTTTGAATAAGGGAGAGTACATTAGATCCATACAGGTGTCAGTGTTACAGGTCATAGCACCTGACAATAGAGCAAACCCCCAATAAAAAAAAGAACATCAAATTTGATGAATACTAAAACAATGAAAGAAGGGAAGATACTAATAATAATAAAATCCAGCTACATAGAACTAGAAAGATCCACCGTATAACTTCCAATGGTCGCGGGTTCGATACCTCGCACTGTACAAACATTTGAATTCGTGAGTATAGTTCTTTTTATCGGTCAGGATGTTTTCTATGTATATTATGTGTTTATATTCTGTTTACAAAACGAATCTATGTATTTATATCAATTGTCTAGTGTCCATAACAGACGCTAGGTTTAACTTGGGAGGAAATAGTGCTGTGTAAATTGTTATAGAGATATTAAAATAAATAAAAAAAAATTGAATCCAGGACTTCCATTTCTGATATCGGTTAATGACTATTAGAAGTCATCACACAATGTAAATACCTGAAATACTTTGGGCGCGGAGACGAGCGACGCGAGCGCTGAAGACAGCGTTGCAGCGAAGCAACCACCGGAGATGAGGGGACCAAACCCAGACACCAATTGTATTACCTGCCAATTAATTTATACCCAAGTGGTTTATATCTTATATATAAAATTCTCGTGTCACAGTTTTCGTTCCCATACTCCTCCGAAACGGCTTGACCGATTCTCATGAAATTTTGTGAGCGTATTGAGTAGGTCTGAGAATCGGCCAACATCTATTTTTCATCCCCCTAAATGTTAGGGGTAGTCCACCCCTAAATATTATTTATTTTCAGGCAAAACAACGTTTGCCGGGTCAGCTAGTAATACTATATATTTCTTATCAAATTACAATATGTTACTACCGAGGGAAAGGGGATTGTTAGTGTTCAGAACACTGAGAAGGGGGAGAGGGGTGAGGCATCTGCCGGCACCGCTGATCCGCGCGGCGACCGGTCTTTCTCTTCCCATTCAGAGGTCACGGCGAACGCCCGCGTCACTTAATAATAAAATATCATAAAATTTTGTAGCTTATACTTCAATATAGCAATTTAAATTAAATTTGAAGTTTATTTTTTTATGTCTACATAATTCGAGACAGTTAGTAATGTGGACTAATGATTCCATTGCTAGCAATGTACCATGTTAGGTCGACCTCCACACGGTTCCCCTTGGAAGGCATCGTGATTATTTCAAGATAAATTCATCACGATAAGCTAACTGACCTGACTTCATGTTCATCCTTATCATCCTCCACTGGTGCCCCGCCAGCGTAAACCGTTAGCGGGTGCACCATTCCATTACCCAATTTTTATCCACCAAATCTGGGGGTAGAATCAACAAAACCCGAGTCGTTCGTTGCACGTCGCGTCGAGCACACGAAGATCCGCATTTTCTCCGCGAATCAACGTAAACGGAACCATCAGCCGCAATTTCCGCGCAACCATCTTATCAGTATATCATCCAATGAAAATCATCGTAGTGTTGTGGGTTTTTAAAGTAAAACGGCAATGCGTATATAAGACCTACGCGCGGGGACGACACGAGCCAGGTTTGTCCTCAGTTTCCTTTTTTACCCAACAGTAAGTATGAGTATGCACATAAATGTATCTTTTAATAATAAAAACGCAAAAGTTTGTGAGTATGGATGGGTGGTTGTTTGTTACTTTATAATTCTATTTAATCTTTGCTATTTATATATTTACTTCAAATTTATAAGCATAAATCGTCGATAGTCGTGGGTTCGATTCCTTGCACGGTACAAACATTTGTATTCATGAGTATGATTGTTTAAATCGGTCTAGGTGTTTTCTATGTATAATATGCATTTATAGAAAAAATGTATCCATGTATTTATATCAGTTGTCTAGTACCCGTAACACAAGCTTTGCTTAGCTTGGGACTAGATGGCGCTCTGTGAATTGTCCTGAGATATATATAAATCATATTAAATAATAAAAAATATGTTGTTGGTTGTCGCTCTCAAACTAGATGGCGTTGTAGTCACTAAAATCTGCTTTAGCGGGGCACGCTGGCGAACTATTGCTATTGACGGTAACAATATACAAATATTCCTACTTGCTACCCACCCCTTTGCACAAGTGTACATGTAATATACATATAATCCTACCTCACCTTAGGTTCTACCACCTCACACCTCACTCAGCATCACCTCTACCTTAAAAAAACCGCTTCAAAATACGTTGCGTAGTTTTAAAGATTTAAGCTTACATACGGACAGACAGCGACAGCGACTTTCTTTTATACAATGTAATGATAATGATTATATACTTTGTAACTATTGTGTAGTCCATAAGGGCAGGTGAAGTTGGCGAGGCAGGCGGGTACAACGTTCATCTGCGTCACGTCTCCGGCTGCGTCTCGCAGCACTGTCCAGCCGGCGATCAATGCCATCAGCAAATACGAAAGCGTAGTCAGCAGTATCGCCAGCAGGGTGCCCTTGGGTATCGACTTCTGGGGATCCTGATGATAGATAAATACTTTATCAATTACAAACAAATAGTAGGTATATATGATACTGTATAATTCTATATAAAAATTAATTGTAACTGGCAGCCTGCAAATATGTGCGTTGCCATATCCGCAAAACATTAATAAAAAAGAAAGTTGAAAAAGAATAAAATTCAAATTAACAGAGACATTAACGCAAAAATTGCATTTTTATTTTATAAATATAATAAATATCTATCAACCATCCCTTAAATCATCGATCAGGTTTAAACAGATACGGAAAAAATCATCATTATGAAGATCGTGCCCAGTGGCGTGTCTTGGGAAAGACCTATATCCAGCAGTGGACTGCTGTGAGCTGATGATGATGATGATAATGAAATAAATGGAGTTGATATTTTTAAACTTTCGCTCTTAATATACATTATTTATATTATTAACCGGGTCTTAACTCGAAACGTCGAGAAATGTAAATACCTTATTTGCCATAAAATTAGTTCGTGTTAAGACCCGGTTAATAATATAAGTAATGTAAATGGAATTGACTTTATATATCGCAAAGATGAAGAGGCAACCAACTATTATATACATCATAAAGCTACAGATAAATCTGCAGCGCTAATATTCTATTGACTCCTGGAATTAAATAATATTAAACACAAATTAATTGTACACAATTGAGAATCTATACTAATATTATAAAGAAGAGTTTGTTTGTTTGTTTAAATCTAATCTCAGGAACTACTGGTTCGGATAGAAAAAAATATTTTTGTGTTGGATTGTCTATTTGTCGAGATAGTAAACCCTTGCTCGATAGCTAGCTAGCTAACCTAGCTTCGCTAGCAGGTTTGAGCTATATAACATTACGCTACGACCAATAAGAGCGAAACTGCAATGAATAAAATTTCAAAAGATGGAGAAATGAAATGCAGACGAAGTTGCACGGATCAGCTAATATATTAATATTAATCTATTAACATTATTTAATATATTTATTAATATATATTGCTTATTCTTCTTGTGATGTGTCTCATCAGCTTTCCGAATAAGCGGTAGATTTAAATAAAAAAAAATGTTGACTATTCAAAAGTGCTTAAATTAAGTATATTTGAATAAATGATTTTCTATTTCTATTTCTAATATATTCTCAATTTGATCACAGACTCAGAGAGAGAGATCAGAATAAAGAAAAGAGCAGTTATAGCTATGCGTTTGTGTATCAAATACATGGTAGTGTATATAATGTTTATTTTTTACTGATTTAATGTATTTTTATGCATAATTTAAATAAAATATATTCTTCTTGTGATGTGTCTCATCAGCTTTCCGAATAAGCGGTAGATTTAAATAAAAAAAAATGTTGACTATTCAAAAGTGCTTAAATTAAGTATATTTGAATAAATGATTTTCTATTTCTATTTCTAATATATTCTCAATTTGATCACAGACTCAGAGAGAGAGATCAGAATAAAGAAAAGAGCAGTTATAGAAGCGTTTGTGTATCAAATACATGTATTTATATATTTTATTTTTTACGATTTCTATTTTTATGCATAATTTAAATAAAATATATTAGCATTCTGTATCCTTTATATAATATATTAAGTGCTGTGAATATCATATTTTCCGCAGCTCAATTTAAGAAGTTTTTACTTCATGTATTTATATATTCATTACGTTTCTATAGATTTCATAGAGCAATCCTTTAAATCAATATATGAAGGATTGTTCTGAATAGAGCAATGTCTAACAAATACGCAAGAGATGAACAGGAAAGAAGAAAGAAACTTAAAACCAACGACCAATATCTACATTAAAAAACAATGACATCTGATTAGTACTTGAAAATTAAATAAACACAAATTAATTACCTTTAAATCGCCCGATATGTTAGCACCAGCCAATATGCCCGTGGCGGCAGGGAAGAATATGGAGAAGACAGAGAAGAAATTGTGTTCCACGCCTTTATGTTTTCTGTAGTCCGACCACAAGTTCTCGTGTAGTACCGTCACTGAAAAAAAAATGTTCTTACGGTTAAGAACATTTTTTTTTAGAGAAGAAAACAGCTCGTCGTAATTTCGATCCCGGGTTCAATTGGATGGGGCGACCTTTTTTCGGACTACTCTAATGCTGTTGGCCGCAATTGGCCTTTACAGCTTCATGGACATTAGGGGGCGAGTGCAGATGGCACTCCAAACCCGTCAATATGATGTGACGAGATGTCGCTACTTAATTGATTAATTACCTAATATTTAGGTAGTGAGTATACAGATATAATAGTTGTACTACATTAATAAGTTTATTTAATCGTTGTGCTGCATGGCTTATTAGTAACGCGTACACTCAACGCGGAGTCGTAACGTAGACTGACTTTACACTGAACTTAAATCTAAGATTCTAAGATTATCTTGAGACGTAAACTAATGGAAGGGTACCGAGTGTTGACAGAAATAATACAAGTAAAGGCACACTATAATTGGTTAAGAATGGTAAATTTCTAAATTGTAGAATAGTAGCAATAATGTAAGTTATTATTATGCTAATAAATAAAAAAAAATTTAAAAGTTTGTAACGTCCCAATCAGTTTGGAGCAGTCATAATCGTAAATTGGTTTGCGTGAACCCACGCATGCGCTTGATGGACGCGCTGTCTGTCTACTAAAATCCTAAATAACCAGGATCAATCCAGGATAATATTCTTCGAAGCATCGCGTTGGAATTAAGGTGCAACCAGATCGTCACACAAGACTCCATCCAAGTAAATGCACGTATCCTTCTTATATACTGTGATCGTCCCTGCAGTGGTACCAGAGGGTGACAGACGAATTCCACGGCCTCAACGGTGTCTGCTGCAAAGTTTTCAAAAAGATACTCACTGTTATATCCAACAAATCCTTGCGCGACCTCCAAATCGCTCTTGGGTCCTACGATGGACCCTATGCAGAAGTCCCCGATGGCAGCCAGCAATATTACAAGCAACACGATCTGAGCCTTCGCCTCCCACTCCATTCCCACTATTACGATGCCGGTTAGCAGAACTATTGTTATGCACCCGTAAATTGATTGATCCTGGAAATTATAAAAAGAATTGTAGCATAAATGACAAACAAACATGCCGTGACCTTTATGGTAAGTTATTAATTTCTCGATTATTTCCTTACAGTTCTTTCTGTATGTATCTAAAATTTTGTCTTGTTGTTACTTCTAATTTTGTTTTACTTTCAATTTGAAGGTGTACCAGATCATTAAGTATATATTCACGAATGCGTATGTTGAAATGGATGTAACCAGGAATGACAGAATATATATTTGATTTTTTTCCTACATTCGCACATGAAACAAAACTCACCTAATCTTGTTTACAATATAAAAAAGTATTGACTATATGAGAGATTATATTTTTAAAACCAGTAATAGAATATAATTCATTAACTCGTTGTGTTGTGTCAAGCGAAACATTAACTACATAAAATTAATTAATTATTATATTCTCATCATTCAACGACACGACGACTTTTTATTTAGACATAAGCATACACACATACCCACAAATACAAACTCGATATACTCATCTGTATACTAAGATTTTAATTTAGTTTAAGTTTCGACACTGCTCGGTATTTTTGATTAACATATCGTTATATTAGATTACTTGTATATGTATTGACATTGATAATTTATGTATGTATGCTTGTGAGACGTGGACATTGACACAAAAAGAAAAAGACAAACTGGAAGCTTTTGAAATGTGGTGTTGGAGAAGAATGGAAAGAATTAGCTGGAAAGATAAAATAAGGAATGAAGAAGTGCTTGAAAGGGTTAAAAAAAAGAGACAGATCATTGATATTATTGAGAATAGGCGGGGAAAAATGTTGGAGCACTTGATACAATACGACGAACTAATTAACAACATTATTGAAGGAAAAATAGATGGAAAGAGAGGAAGGGGAAGACCACGACACTGCTATATCAAGCAAGTTAAAGAAAAAGCTGGAGTCGTATCAACTGCTAAAAAGACTGATAGAACATCGTGGAAGGTGGCGGGAGCTCCACCGACAAGTGCACAGCTCTTAAATTATGAATGAAGCGATAATTTAGAAACATAAAACAAACTGAGTCAACGTGGACCACAAGTCAGCATAATGCAGGAAACATTGTTTCCAGCGTTTGTAGCTGATTTTCAGAAATGATACAAACAAACGGTGAGCTGTATTACAGGTTGTAACCTATTTCAGACACCAGCTTCTCACAACAATTGATAGTAATGGTAAATCTATGCAATGTATTATATAAAATACTACATGTATCTGTTCCTACACATTGTGTACAATGTTTGTGAGGAGAAATATATAAAATATTATTATTAAAAAGAACTCACCCACTCCTTGCTGACCATATAACTGGTCTCAGGTAAGAGATCTATCAACGCCTCCCCAAAACCGACGACGTACATGGCGCAAGCCACCGCATTTGCTATAGAGAATATCAGTCCTATGGATCCGCCGAACTCCGGACCAAGGGACCGCGATATCATGTAATACGTCCCACCTGCAATTCAGAAAATTATCTTATATAAAGATAATAGAAAAAAAGAATAGAAATCTTAAGTCTTTTTTGAAAAAAATATCCATTGTAATGTATTTTTTATACCAATATAAAGTAGAGATTTCAACGAACAAAAAGCCACGTTTTTTAAAAAGCAGATACTTTGATGTGGGAATTTATGATTGAAATTTGGGGCGCTTTTTGAATATTAAGTCAAAATAAAGTAAAAGTGTTTTAAATAAAAAATAATATAATAAATATTTAACCCTGGACAATTCACACAGTGTAATCTAGACCTGAGCTAAGCAGAGCTTGTGTTATGGGTGCTAGATAACTTATATAAATACAAAGATACACTTTTTTGCAAATGCATACGTAATATACATAGAAAACACTCAGACCGATTCATGCAAGTATATTACAGACTCTTATTTTATCTCTTGCGAGTTGAGATGAACTAACAAGACACTCAGCTCTCATTCTTTTCAAATGAGCTTGTACACATTTAAAAATTACAGATTTATTGTTACATTCAAATATAAACTCTTCAGTATTATACTTTTAGCATAGATTAAAAGAGCTTCTCAACAATAAATAAATTATTATTATTACAAATGCAATTTAGTGAGAGTTGTTCTTAAATAATTAATTATGAAACTATGTTTATAATATTATGTATGTTATTTACTTGTTATATGTTTGATATGATTCTTTTGTATGCGCTAAATAAATATATATTTCTTTCTTTCTTTATATAAATAGGATACAAATGAGACGTACCTCCTTTGATGACTCCGTTGGTGCTGATGGCGGACATGGAGAGCGCCGTGATGGTGGTCACAACAGATGTGGTCAATATTAACAGCACTGACTGCGCTGCCATAAAACAATAAGAAATTGTTGAACACTCACCGGGAGAGTTGTCACCTAGTGCTTTACTACCTCTAAGCTAAACTGAAAAGTCAAGAGTTTGAATCTGACTGATGCAATATATTGTTCCTATTAATATTTCCGAGTGGGGAAATAGGCATGGTTAGTAATGTGAACTGATGATATTATTGATAGCAATGTACTATGTCGGGTTGACCTCCACGCGGTTCCCCCTGGAAAGCATCGTGATAAATTCCTGATGTATTTGTAACGATGCGACCATAATAAAAAATATATATTTGATTATATTTGATATGGTTCAAAGATATTTTTATTTTTGAACCAGCAATATCAAATATATATTTGATAAAATAGAAGATAGATAAGAAAATATTGTTTAAAAAATATATTTTTTTTTAAACAATATTTTCATTTTGCACTCCTCTATATAATCTATAAATTTCATACTCCTTCGTCCGCACAATGTTCGTAAAAAGGGGTTATATAGTTATTGCCGAATAATAATTAACTAGCTTATATACAAAAACCATAAACTATACCAACCGATGCCAGCCTGTGCGACGACCCAGGACAACCGCAGGAAGAGCATGACGCCCCATATGTTGAGAAGGCATCGCATCAGCACACCCTTAATCCATCCAAATTTCACGTTGGAGGTCGCCATGGCTGGGGTGCCATCTGGGTCTTTCTCGAGGGTTTGTCCCGGCTAGAATTATACAATTTTTTTTTTTTAATCTTTCAAATATTTTTTATATATAGTTTTATTGTAAATGTATTGATAAATGGGGGTTTTCAAGTACATTACTTAGTATAAAACAAAGTAGCCTTCGCTGTCTGTTCGTTTATATCTTTTAAATTATGCAACGGATTTTAATGCATTTCTCAGCAATAGATAGAGAAAGGTTTATATACATAATACATGCATGTTATAATATAGAATGAGGCGAGAAATTAAAAGATTTGTAATGCATCCGAGCGAAGCAGTAATATTTCTACTTGTAAGACGGATCGCTAATACTTTTATTAAAATAATGTATCAAACTATTTTTATCAGTTGTCTAGTACTCATAACACTCTGCGTAACTTGGGACTAGATGGCGCTGTGTGGATTGTACATGAGAATACAAACTTTTATTGGAAAATACTCATGTTAATATTTTTCTAGGCCCCGTATATTGGAGAGAGGTCAAACGGAACATCATTGTTAGTTGTTGCATTGTCTGTCCGTCAGCGGCTCGTAACTGACAATTACAATGAGATAACCAGTTAAAATTCATATACGTGGCAGTTAAATCTTTGGTTATAAATTATTCATGGGTTATTACTTCAATGACCTAATGGTTCTACACGCGTTATGTATGTATGGAATGGAAAACGAGCTGGCGGTTCACCTTTTTTGTATAGAAAAGGGACAGATCCGGCCGCATATGGAATACTGTTCTCATCTCTGGGCGGTGCACCACATACCAGCTACTTCCATTTGACCCCATTCAGAACCGAGCAGCCAGAATCATTGGCAATCAACGTCTTTGTGATAAACTCGACCATTTATCTCTGCGGCGAATAATTGCATCTTTGTGCATTTTCTACCACGGTGAGTATTCTGAGAAATTGTTATCGGTTTGATACCAGCTGCTGGTATCAAACCGAACAATGGTTTGCTTTAAAATTGATCGTTAAAGGAGGTAACTCGAAAATGGCTGTTTATTATAATTATATGGAATGTATATTTCAACTTTTCATTATATGTATTGAATATTTTTTTTCGCAGTAACCCGAATAGACTAGCCCCCACAAGCAGCACCCGTTCACGAGTATGTCGAATGATATTAGGTCGTGTACTTATATAGATTTATAAGTTAGAAAGTCTGCAACAAACAGTTTGCTTTTCCTAACTATATCTTCTACCGTATAATTAAAAGTTATATGCAAGTGCCCACTATTCTCATAGTAATTTACGAAGTACGCAGAGTAACAAAAGGTTAATATGGTGCAGCCATACTTTATGTAGTAGTTTAATGAAACACCTACGCGTGTAACTACTCTGTGCACGGGTCGCAATCCCTTGAACCGGGGTTAATTGCATACCCACATCATGGTGTACTGGATATGCCTAATTACGAACCATCATTAACTACACGAACGACATTCAGGTATTGTACATAGTAAAATTTATGGAATGAATGATAACACTAGGTCGTCATAAACTAGTTGAAGGCTCAATATAATATGACCTCACATTCCTTTAGTCACCGGTTCGATCCCCGGACAATAGTATTTATGGTCTGGATTATCTAGCGGTTTAATACACCGCTTTCCTTCTAATGGTCGTGGATTCGCTTCTGTACAGTAGAAACATATATTCATGAGTATGTTTGTATCGATCTGGGTGTTTTCTATGTATATTATATAAGTTTTACAATACAATTTATTTAAGTATTTATATCAATTGTCTGGTAACTATAAAACAAGCTGTACTTAAATTGGGAGAGGATGGCTGTGTGAATTGTTCTGAGTTATTTAGATTTACTATTATTTACTACAATATAATTTTATTTCTCTTATCTGTAAAGTAGGCCAGATTTATATCTTGGGGGCTGGGAGCGAGGATACCATGTAAGTGTAACAATTTGTATGCAATTCAAATACAAGAATTAGTAGTTCAAAGAATATTACTATATCATCATCTGCTTCTTCCTTATCCCATTTATTTGTGGTCGACGTAATATATTCTTCTCTTCCATTCATCCCTGTTCGTAGTCATCTCGTTATTTACTCCCTTTCTTACTATATCATCTTTTACACAGTCCATCCATCTCTTTTTCGGCCTTCCTCTGCCCTTATAACCATCCACATTCATATGTAACACTATCATCATATTTCATATGTAACAATATATATATATGAAACAAAGAATTTTTAAATTTATTTTAATAAAGAATATTCTATTCTATTCTGTTATTTATTAACCCAAGAGCCAAGATGTATTTATATATGAATAACCCTGGGCAACTCAGATACCGTTATCTATATAGTCTCAAACTAATAGTTATTGCATCCTCGAGTTCCTATTGCAGTAGGGAGGTCGTAGCAATATCAATCGAACTGATGCATTCATCATTTAGTATCATTGAGTATACGAAAACAATCCTATCAATACTACTAGCTTTTACCCGCGGCTTCGCATTGAATCGATTAAATAACTTCATTACTGGCTGCTAGATGGCGTTGAAGTAACAAAATATTGATATTTTTTTTTTATATAATTTTTTTTTATTAAAATTCGCCTATGCTCATTCCTATGCCTCCAAGAACATGTGTACAAAATTTCTTGATGATCGGATCAGTAGTTTTTGCGTGAAAGCCTTACAAACACCCCTACTTTCAGGGTTATAATATTAGTAATGGTAAACGCGAAAGTTTGTAAGTATGGATGTTTGTTACCCTTTCACGCAAAAACTACTGAACGGATTTTGATAAAACTTTACGGTAATGTAGCTTAAGCATCAGAATAACATATAGGCTATATTATTTATTTAACGCGGGCACAGCTAGTATAAAATAAATAGAAATGGCCGATAAGGTAAATTATAGTTTATCTATTTGCAAAAGTTCCATATTCTTGCTCTGGAGACAATGGGACAGATTGGGGACGCCTTACAGTAGACTGTCCCGCCCAAACCAGAATAAATGGTCACTTTACACATCAGAGTGATTACAACAAACAAAACAACAATAAATTACAACAGTTACACATAAAGGAAGGAAAACAGGAAATAAAATGTGTGTAATAACACAGTGAGGTAATAATTAAGTAATTATTATTAATAATAATATTAATTACTAATATAAGTACAATAATAAACTAAAACATGTTATATAACGAAATGCGGTTTGTGTAAAAGGAAATAATATATTATTGAAAGCTTAGTATAAGAAATAACAAACAAGTTGACGATGGTAAGTGGTAACCGTAACCGTCGCCTACATACATGAACAGCAACAATATATTATTAAACTAGCTACCCAACCCTGCTGCGCTCGGGTGTACATGTATTATACATATAAACTGTCCTCTTGAATCACTCTATCTATTAAAAAACCGCTTCAAAATCAGGAGTCCAAAGTCTGGTCATCAATATATATTGACGGCCTCGGCGGTCTAGACGTTTAGCACACGGTCTCACTTCCAATGGTCGCGGGTTCAATCAGATACAAATCATACTCATCAATACAAATGTCTGTCTGGTTTACTGTGTAAAATATGCATATACATAAAAAATCTATATATTTATATCAGTTGTCTAGTATCCATAACACAAGCTCTGCTTAGTTTAGGACTAGAAGGCTCTGTGAGATGTCCTAAGATATCTTATCTTAATCCTAATTTATAATAATATTATATTATAAAAGCGAAATCTTGTAAGTATGGATGTTTGTTACTCTTTCACGCAAAACCTACTGAACGGAATGTGATGAAACTTTACAGTATTATAGCTTATACATCAGAATAACATATAGACTTATAAATTTCGAGTGAAACCGCGGGTACAACTTATTATTATATATATTCATATATACATAGGTATGTACCTCTATAGTAACATAGGGACTGGCAAATTCCCAGTAAAAGACTTAATTAATTAATGAGGATCTTCAATTAAGACGATTACCTGAAGATTACCGCGTCATAGGAGACCGTAAACATCCATACTGACCTTATTCTATGTAATTAACCTACCAGGGGAAGGGCATTGTTAGTTGCGTGGACTGTTGAACTCATTGCTAGCAATGTACCATGTCAGAACATGCGACGACAAGTAAGTCAGATATATTTCGGTTTAGTATGTTAACGTAGCGTAATATATATTATTTACATAAAAAATATATATTCAAAATACCAACACAAGTTTCTTGCTCATTCTTCTTGTGATGAATCTGCATTCCGAACGAGTGTCAGAATATAAAATATGACTATTCTATTAAACTTGTATTGAGTTTATTTGTATAAAGATTATTTCTATTTCTATGTATTCTATTATAATTAATTTTATAACCATATACTGCCGGGAGAAAGACAAAAAAATAAATTGAAATAAAATAAATTATGGAATAGCGGGTCGCATATACAGGTTTAACGGACCGCGTGTTGCTCATCCCTGGTTAGCCGATTTCACTAATGTATTCTGGTAAGTTTCACTTAAAATAATGCATACACATTATTTTACTTCCCAATGGATTTCGAAATAAAAAAAATATACGGGTAAGAGGTCGCGGCCTCATTTATATTATATACCACATCTTGACACCAGATTTCGTACAGGGTAGGCAGAGGAAACCCTGTGTAATCTGTCCTTGTCCTTAGACTTTGATTTAGAAATAAAAAAATATACGGGTAAGAGGTCGCGGCCTCATTTATATTAGTACCACATCTTGACGCCAGATTTCGTACAGGGTAGGCAGAGGAAACCCTGTATTATCTGTCCTTATCCTTAGACTTTGATTTAGAAAAAAAAAATATACGGGTAAGAGGTCGCGGCCTCATTTAGTAATATCTTTACGCCATTTCTCTTACGGGGTAGGCAGAGGAAACCCTGTGTAATTTGTCCTTGTCCTTAGATTTTCATTTTGTCATAAAACAATATACGGGTAAGAGGTCGCGGCCTCATTTTAGTGATATCTTTACGCCATTTCTCTTACGGGGTAGGCAGAGGAACCCGAGTGTAATATGTCCATAGACTTCACTTTAGAAATAAAAAAATATACGACTTCGATTTCTTTAATAATATTACGTCAGATCTCTTACGGATGATTAATGAATGTGAGAGTTACTTCTCTCACATTCATTAATCATCTCAAGGACACGCCCATTTTGTTTTCTTTATACTAGGGTTGTGGATCAAGCATACGGCCCATTTGATGGTAAATTGTTACCGTAGCGTTGTGGACGCTTGAGACACTTGAGAGGAGTGTTAGAGAGGAAGGGGATTGTTAGGGGGTCTAGTGTCCCCATTGCTAGCAATGTACCATGTTAGTTCCACCTCCAAGCGGTTCCCCCAGGAAACCATAATAGTTAATTCCAGGTTATTTAATCACGATGGGCAAACTGACCTGACCTGACTCATCTTATCCTCCACTGGTGCCCCGGCATGGCAGCGTAAACCATTGCGCTGGCGGGAGCATTATTAAATTAAATAAAAAATGATTTATTCATATAGAACATTCAGCCGCTTATGAATGTCAAGTTTTAAGTATATTTTTTCTCTACCGTCCAGTTCACTATACTGATTCCATTTAGAGGAACTGGCAAAATATACAACTGAATTTCTTCTATCTTCTATTAAAAATACACGATTAAATAAATGAAATACTTCATGCAAATCAATTTACATAAGTATGCTCGATTGCCACACGTTGTAGAAACAAATTACCAATTACAGTTTTATGTCACTGATAAGAAAATTCCGTAGCTCTATCGGTGACACGAACGGCCCGTGCCGAATGCGTGCATCGTTGTAAAAAAATAAATATTCATTTAATATGAACGCTTTTGTATTATTTTTTATTAAAAATATTAAAAACACCCCAAATAATCCTAAATTTACTAATGTCAAAAAATTTGCTTTTGTAAAAAATGTCGGTGGGTTTTTTGTTCGTTGGATATGTTGGAATCTCTTTGGACTTTCTGATTGTATAAAAATATACATTAAAAGAGAAAATACAAATAAACTCGAATTCAAGTTTTTTCAATCCTCTATAAATATAATTAAAATTGGAGTGTCTGTTTGTAATATTGAAATAACCGTTTTTTATGTATGCATATGAATATAAATACATATAGTAAAAAACGGTACACCATATACGGTACATACACCAAAATAACATTTTTTACAATCTTTATCTGTCTGTTTGTCTAATCTTTGAAATGGCTGGACCGATTTTGACGGGACTTTTTTGGCAGGTAGCTGATGTAATAAGGAGTAACTTAGGCTACTTTTATGTCAGAAAAATAAAGTTAATTCCACGCAGACGAAGTCGCGGGAACAGATAGTTATATATTTATAATGTCTATATTGTAGTAATTTGCACAGTTAAGAATGTTCCATAATAATGACTAATTTCTGTATCTAATATATACGCGTATATATAATATATTACCAGAATTCTCTAACCGTATGTTCCGTAGGTCATAATCCTGAGATCCGAATCCGTAGGTCATAATCCAGAGAATACGATCGGTCAAAAGACGCTCCTGAGAGCATCTTTTGGCCGATCGTATTCTCTGTAGATCATAATCTCTACAGAGTATGCAACTTAAATTACCTTTCTGGAGAGCGACGCGTTGTGTAGTTCGTCCAGCGTGGGTCGTGGTGCAGCATGCAGCGAGAGCACATTCCTGTAATTGTCCAATCGCGGCAGTGCTTCGCGGGTGAAATGCCTGTTATGAAAATAATTATAATAAAAATTAAATTATTTGATTTTACTTTACTTTTATACTTAGTTTCTTTTGAGACTGACTTTCAGAACGATAAACTATATTAACAAGCGACGGTAGGTTTGCCCCTTGTTAGACAGGAACTGCGGATACCGAGTCAATGGTGAGGCGAAGGAAAACTCCGAGCAGTTTCCAGGACTTGTGACCCGGGTATAGGTTTAAAGGGCCCCATGCTGACCTAAGTCAACACTCATTGTCACCTCTCGTGTTTCTCCCCCTGCCCAGCTAGATATGGAGCTTGCTAGTGCAGCTTTAGATACAGGTTCTGGTATAGAACTTACTACAGTTCTAGACAGGCCAAGATCTTTTAGAAGATTGTGGAATCAAATGAAATTTTAACACTTAAAATAAGTAAGGTTCAGTTGCTGTTCTCGTTGTGATACTTTGTTTTTTAGAAATAACTCACTTCACTCTCCCTAGTAACTATTCATATTTTCAATAATGTCACTATCTACCCGTTCCACAACTGCACGGCAGACAGAGATGAATGATCTCAGTGACAAGTTGATCAGGGAGAGAGAAGAGAGTGAAGATGAAATTTTTAAAATTATAAATAAAAATACCCTATTAAAATCAGAATTGTCAGAACTTCATAAGTCATCAGGAAGTTATTGAGCAGCGAGATCAGCTTCAAGAACTAATAAGTAGCTTTCATGAATGTAGTGACACTCATGAGCAAGCCTTGAGGCGTATCACTGAATTGAAGCTTGAGTTAAAGCAGGCATATTCTAAAATCAATGATCTAGACACAAGATTGGAATCTCAACAAAGTAATGAGATTAGTAATTTATATAAATATTCTGTACTTGTCTGTAATTCCATGTTTAAATCCTGATAGGCTTCCGTCATCATCCTGATGCACGGGAGCTCCAGAGACATATCCCTTTACTATAGACGGTAGTAGGTACCGTTCCATCATAATACACGCTATATCCTGACAGGCTTCCGTCGACATCCAATCATAAACCACCGGTGCACTCCAAACCATTTACCATTGATGATCGTTCATTACGATTGTTCATACAACCTTTAATTTACACTCAGCCCGAGTGGGCAGGGAAGTGAAGAAGTGAATCTACCCCTGGCGCTGCCCGGCGCTCCCTCGATAGTCGGTTTTTCGTGCGCGAGGCAAAGGACTAGCAGCGCGAGTGGCAGAGTGTGTTTACATTCAGCCCTCTCGCTCAGTTGTCGCCCGGCGTTTTAAGCGGAAGGTAAGGAAGAGTCTCCCGGTAAATAAGTATGAGGGCTGATTGTAAACGACACGCAAACGCGTCGACTTCCATCGACGCTGACGCGACAATATTTCCGGCAGCGCGAGTTGCAGGGGAAGCAGCTGAATGTAAACGTGTTATTACATTATCATAAACTATTTAATAAATGTGTAGGATCATTACAAACCTGAAACTCTTGGCATATTTGGTGTCGTTAGCGGTGAGTGGGTCGTCGCTGTCCATACCAGAGGCGTCCGATTCTTCAGTATGATCTTCCGGCTTGTCGACCTCCATCTAAAACAGAATATTATACTTTTACATTGCGTTTCCACGAAAAAGTGTACAAAACAAGTCATTTATATTTTCCGAATAAGAATAGAATTTTCGTGGAAAAATTAATCACATTTTATATACAAGCGTTTTTATTATATGTTCCATGTGGAACTATTCCGATTTACCGAGGTAGAATTTGTAAAAAGTCATATACATATTATTTTTTTAAAAGGATGATAATGGACTGTGAATCCGCCTGCTCTATCTAATGGCGGGGCACCAATAAAGGATGATAGGAGAAGTAAGAAGTTAGGTCAGTTAGCCCATCGTGAAGAATTCACCATGAATTAACCACTATAGTTTTCAGGGGAGAGATCTCGTGGAGGTCGAGTTAACATCGTAAACTATTAGTAATGAACTTACTATTCCCCATTACTAACAATCCCTTCCCATTACAAGGGTAGTAAGATTCATTATCCTATCATTTCAGCAGCCAAGGCTTGCTTTATATGCTGTGTTACGGTGAAAGGTTGAGACATGGCAGTGTAAATACAGGGTATTTATGCTTTATACCTTAGTTCTCCGGGATGACAACGCATGATGGATATCACAGTGAAGTGATATCTATAGTACTCTTCATATAGACGACGCCACGGTTGGCTAATTAGTTATATAAAAAACTACTGCCACTTGAAAAACAGGTTTTAGGATGTATATAAATGGAATAATTTATGTGACAGCCTATTTAAACTATACCAAACCTTGTTGATTTGGTATAATTCAAATAGGCTAACTCTACTTTATTTAAATAAAAATAAGTTATTTTTGTCATCATCATCAGCCGTCTACAGTCCACTGCTGGACATAGGCCTGTCCTAAGGAACGCAATAATCCTTTTCGTGCAGTTATCAACCTTTCATCTCTCGTTTCAACCCCTTACAAATCTTTTTCGCATTAAAAAATAGCCTATGTGATTTAGATTATCTGTGTTACAAAATTCATTTAAATCGGTTCAGTAGTTTTGCAATGAAAGCGCGACAGACATACAGAGTAACTTTCGCATTTATAATAGTAGTAAGGTTTACAATTTCAGAATATAGCACTGTAACAAACGGACGCAAAAATAACACCATACAAGATCTATTTCATCTTTTAATTCGGAGCCGTAAAGTGGATGGTACCGCCATCTGAAGGTCGGCAGGTGGCCATAAAATATTGATGACATTGTATAAACTACATATAAATGACGTCACCTCGTCACACTGCGTCTATGTATAAACGATACTAAAAAAAGAACCTCTATAACAAATTGTGTTAATATATGAAGCCGAAATTCGTTTTAGCAATGTGTAATGTCGTGCTTTACTTTTAGTGGACGCAAATGTGGACTAAAAAGTAAGGTAAATATTGCATGTAATCGAGAAGATTCACAGAACACATTGTTCTGTGTTTGATTTAAAGTTTCCACGTGGGACCATGTGTCACGATACCCACCGATGCCCAATCTACATGGCCAATCTGTCGGGTCCTGAACATCTTTTTACAGCAAGAGGCAATGAGCTTTCGGCACACCAAAAAGTAAGATGAGTATTGTATTCGAGAAGATTGATTTAAAGTATCCACGTGGGACCATGTGTCACGATTCAGATTCGGCATGGCCAATCTGTCGGGTCCTGAACAGCTTTTTACTGCAAGGACAAACGAGCTTCCAGCACACCAAAAATTAAGATAGATATTGTATTCTAGGAGATTGATTTAAAGTATCTATTTGAGAACATGGTTCACGATGCCCAATCGACATGGGATTGGTCAGGATTGATTTGTCAGGTCCTGAGGACCTTTCATAACATACGAGAGCAAATGAGCTTGCAGCTCCAGCTAGTGGTATAATACAAGTGAATACCGCCGAAAATGAGCATCCGAGCAATACCAAAGCAACTGCAGGTAAGTATCCGGCCTTTTAAGAAGGAATGGTAGGGAAAGGAATTTGGAAAGATATAGCAGAGAAGAGAATGCGTGAACACTTTACATTGGTATTATTCAGAAGATGTGATACGTGAATTTGAACTCGTTTAATTAAAACGACTGGAAGGGGAGATTTTTTTCCAATTCGAGCGATACTCTTAAAGCTGCACATCCACGCATGGACATACCGCTTGTTTTGAAATGAAAAATGATTTGTAACGTAAATTGGCACGTATACGCCCTACATACGACAATAAATCAGGGGAAATATCGGCGCTACGAGCAGGAGGAGCAGACATTGCCGCTTGTGTAGCGAATTTAGGACTCCTGTGAACTTGGCACACGATATTCAAAAATCGACTTTTTTTTTAGAGTTCTGACATCCTTTTGAATAGTTCTAGAGTTCTTTATAATCATTTTAAATAGTTCCGATGTTTAAATTAAAAAAAAACAAATTTTAAAAAATCGTGCGCTAAGTTCACGCAGCGCACGAAATCACGAAAATCACAAATTTCTTCGGAGTTCTAGCTTGCTTTACAATAGTTCTACAGTTCTCTATCAGTTATATCAATAGTTCTAGCGATTAAAACGAAAAAATCGATTTTTGAAGTTTCGCCGCGTCCAAATTATAATTCATATAAGAAAAGATCAATTTCCGGCGCGAGTTCTAGCCGATCTGATAATAGTTCTGGGCAGCATTCTCCGAGTTCTACAGAAAAGCTTCATAACTTTTTCCTGGAAAATAATTATTTTGCAAGTTATTGCAAAAAATATAAATCTACAAAAAAAAAATTACGAGTTCCAGCTGATCTGATCGGAGTTCTGGGTAGCGCTACCTGAGTTCTATCGAAAAGTCTAGTAACTTTTTCCTGTGAAATAATTATTTTCCAAATTATCGCCATTTTTAACTTTTCATGACTGACTTATAGGAGAATTTTTTTACGAGTTCTAGTCGATCTCATCGGAGTTCTGGGTAGCGCTACCTGAGTTCTATCGAAAAGTCTAGTAACTTTTTCCTGTAAAATCATTACTTTCCAAATTATCGCCATTTTTAACTTTTCATGACTGACTTATAGGAGAATTTTTTTACGAGTTCTAGTCGATCTCATCGGAGTTCTGGGTAGCGCTACCTGAGTTCTATCGAAAAGTCTAGTAACTTTTTCCTGTAAAATCATTATTTTCCAAATTATCGCCATTTTTAACTTTTTAAGGCTGACTTATAGGAGATTTTTTTTTTACGAGTTCTAGCTGATCTGATCGGAGTTCTGGGTAGCGCTACCTGAGCTCTATCGAAAAGTCTAGTAACTTTTTCCTGTGAAATAATTATTTTCCATATTATCGTCATTTTTAACTTTTCAAGGCTGACTTATAGACTTTTTTTTTACGAGTTCTAGCCGATCTGATCGGAGTTCTGGGTAGCACTACCTGAGTTCTATCGAAAAGTCTAGTAACTTTTTCCTATAAAATCATTATTTTCCAAATTATCGCCAGTTTTTACTTTTCAAGACTGAATTGTAGGAGAATTTTTCTTTTGACGAGTTCTAGCCGATCTGATCGGCGTTCTGGGTAGCGCTACCTGAGTTCTATCGAAAAGTCTAGTAACTTTTTTCTGCAAAATAATTATTTTCCAAATTATCGCCATTTTTTACTTTTCAAGTCTGACATGTAGGAGAATTTTTCTTTTGACGAGTTCTAGCCGATCTGATCGGAGTTCTGGGTAGCGCTACCTGAGTTCTATCGAAATGTCTAGTAACTGTTTCCTGTGAAATAATTATTTTCCACATTATCGCCATTTTTTTCTTTTACTGTAGGTCTTACCTGAGATTTTTTTTTACGAGTTCTAGTCGATCTGATCGGAGTTCTGGGTAGCGCTACCTGAGTTCTATCGAAAAGTCTAGTAACTTTTTCCTGTAAAATCATTACTTTCCAAATTATCGCCATTTTTAACTTTTCATGACTGACTTCAAGGAGAATTTTTTTACGAGTTCTAGTCGATCTGATCAGAGTTCTGGGTAGCGCTACCTGAGTTCTATCGAAAAGTCTAGTAACTTTTTTCTGTAAAATAAATTCTCCTTGAAGTCAGTCATGAAAAGTTAAAAATGGCGATAATTTGGAAAATAATTATTTTACAGAAAAAAGTTACTAGACTTTTCGATAGAACTCAGGTAGCGCTACCCAGAACTCCGATCAGATCGGCTAGAACTCGTCAAAAAAAAAATTCTCCTACAAGTCAGTCTTGAAAAGTAAAAAATGGCGATAATTTGGAAAATAATTATTTTACAGAAAAAAGTTACTAGACTTTTCGATAGAACTCAGGTAGCGCTACCCAGAACTACGATCAGATCGGGTAGAACTCATAAAAAAAAATCCTATAAGACAGTCTTGAAAAGTTAAAAATGGTGATAATTTGGTGATAAATGGTGAAAATAATTATTTTACAGGAAAAATTACTAGACTTTTCTATAGAACTCAGGTAGCGCTACCCAGAACTCCGATCAGATCGACTAGAACTCGTAAAAAAAAATTCTCCTATAAGTCAGTCATGAAAAGTTAAAAATGGCGATAATTTGGAAAATAATTATTTTACAGAAAAAAGTTACTAGACTTTTCGATAGAACTCAGGTAGCGCTACCCAGAACTCCGATCAGATCGGCTAGAACTCGTCAAAAAAAAATTCTCCTACAAGTCAGTCTTGAAAAGTAAAAAATGGCGATAATTTGGAAAATAATTATTTTACAGAAAAAAGTTACTAGACTTTTCGATAGAACTCTGGTAGCGCTACCCAGAACTCCGATCAGATCGGCTAGAACTCGTCAAAAGAAAAATTCTCCTACAAGTCAGTCTTGAAAAGTAAAAAATGGCTATAATTTGGAAAGTAATTATTTCACAGGAAAAAGTTACTAGACTTTTCGATAGAACTCAGGTAGCGCTACCCAGAACTCCGATCAGATCAGCTAGAACTCGTAAAAAAAAAATCTCCTATAAGTCAGCCTTAAAAAGTTAAAAATGGCGATAATTTGGAAAATAATGATTTTACAGGAAAAAGTTACTAGACT